CACTTTAAAGGGTTTCTAAAGAACAGGTAATTTATGTTTGAACCAGTTTTGATTGTCTTTGCCTATTATTTAATGAGAAAATCTAAACCATATGTACTGTTGACACAGTGGTATGTCTGGTCATCTCCCATTTTGGTTTCCTTGTTCTTTGCTTTTAGTTCTGTCTTTACATTATCATTACATTTACTTTATCTTGTACTTTTGTCTGTATCATAGTTATGCCATTTCTAATTCTAATAGTGGATCCTATTAACTTTTTAAAAAATCCTTAATAAATCTATATTTATGAAATTGCTGATATCAATAAAAAATGTTTTTTTCACTCTCCCTGATAGACAATCCCACATTTTTTTGTTTTGATTGTTTTTCTGTATCTCTTTTCTTTTCTTCCATTTCCTGAGACTTTTGGCAATCTAATCTAGTACTGTTCAAGTCAGCATTTCGCAAATAACCTCAGTGATTTTCTTTTGTATTTCTCTTCATAATCTTGTTATAAATTATGCATGCATTTATATTAAACTTAGTTGATGTTCACTTTGCCATTTTGAGTTTTTAGGTTTTCCAAACTCTGTCTGACATGAAGCACATTTTCAAGTAAATTCTTCAAGAAGGGTGCACCATATGTTTTCTGAGACTTCACATATTTAGAACATTTTTTTTTGGTTGCCTTCTGTTGTGAACAACAATGTGTCTTAATATAGTAGTTTTAAAGTGAAGAGTGTTTAAATATTAAAATGTAGATATTGCTGAATTATCTTCTAAAACCTCCTGTTGGGGGTAAATATTGAGGCCATCCTGATTTGTATTCCCTTGCAGATAATCTCTCTACCTCCTATTTTCTCACCTTTGAATTCTGATGACTCATTATTTGTCCTTGAGACTAAAAAATGTCACCAGAACATGTGTAACAGTGAATCTCTTTCCATTAATTTTGCTTGATATATGATGGGCCATGCAAACTGACATCTGTTTTCAACTGAAGAAAGTTTTTTTTTCCTGGTAAGTGCTTATTTATTGTTTGGACACTATTTGTGTGGGTTTTATTTTGGGAGGAAATAGTTATACATGGGTTGGATGTTTCTTTGTTCCTTTATCTGTTAATATAGTTGCCTTAACTAATCTGGGGAATAATAATAAAGCGTTGTCTTATTTGTGATAATTTTAGCTTCTAGGTATTTTTTTTGCTCCATTTTTGAAGTATTTCTCCTTTTTCTATTAATTGCAGTTTTTTTTTTAGCATTGTAAAGTATATGAAGTTTATCTATATATTTATTTATTTTTTGAGATGGGGTCTTGCTCTGTTGCCCAGGCTGAAGTACGGTGGCACAATCATGGCTCACTGTAGCCTCCACCTTCTAGGCTCAAGTGATCTTCCTGCGTTAGCCTCCCTAGTAGCTGAAACTACAGGCATGTGCTACCACACCTGACTAGGTTTTTTTTTTTTTTCTTTTTGCATTTTTTTTTTTTTTTTGTAAAGTTAGTGTCTCCCTACGTTGTCCAGGCTGGTCTTGAACTCCTGGGCTCAAGCCTTTCTCTTGCTTTGGCCTCTCAAAGTGCTGTGATTACAGGTGTGAGCCACCGTGCCAGGCCTGAAGTTTACTGTTTAATGTCTACCCTGTGAATTTATTTTTCACCTTCTATTTTGAGAAATTTTATACATAAAGGAAACTAAAGAGAAAAATATGATGAACACCTGTACCCAATCACATAGATTAACAGGTGTTAACATTTTGCCATCTTTGCTTTATCTCGTTTTCTTTTTTCTGAAGCGTTTTAACAGACCGCATAACATTTCATCCCCAAGTACTTCAGTGTGCACATCTGAAAAATAAGGGCCTTTTTCCACTCAACCATGCTACCATTATCACACCTAACAATGATTCTTTATGTCCTCTTAATGCCCAGCCTATATTCAAATTTCCCTAATCTCGCCCAAATGCTTTTTATGGCCAGCCTGTGCGAACCTGGATCTAACCAAAGATCATACCTTGCATTCAGTTGTTCTGGTTCTTAAACTGCCTTTTTTCTTTTGGATTGAAATTTATGTAACATAAAGTTAGCCATTTTAAGATGAATAATTCAGTGGCATTTAGTACAGTCACAGTGTTGTACAATTATCATCTCTATCTAGTTCCAAAACATTTTCATTGCCCCAAAGTAAAATCTCATACCCTTTAAGCAGTTACTCCCCATTTCCCTCTCTACCCAGCTCCTGGCAATCACTAATCTATCCTCTGCCTCTGTGGATTTACTTATTGAATGGAATTGTACAATATGTGACCTTTTGTGTTTTGCTTCTTTTACTTAGCACCTCTGCCTCCTGGGTTCAAGTGATTCTCCTGCCTCAGCCTCCCAAGTAGTTGGGATTACAATGTTTTTGATAGTCATCCATATCGTAACATGTTATCAGTACTTTATCCCTTTTCATGGCTGAATAATATTCCATTGTATAAATATACCATAATTTGTCTATTCATTTATCCATTGTGAACATTTGGGTTTTTATCCCTTTTGGTTTTAGGACTAGTGCTGCAATGAATATTTACCCTAGTCAGCTCAGCTTGCTATAATAAAATACTAGAAACTGGGTGGCTTAAATAATAGATATTTATTTTTCAGTTATGGAGGCTGGGAAGTCCAAGATCAAGGCATTGGCAAATTTGGCTCTTGGTAGGTAGGGGCCCTCTTCCTGGCTTACAGATGACTACCTTCTCCCTGTGTCTTCACATGGCAGAGTGAGAGAGAGTGAGCACTTTGGCCTCTCTCTTCTTTATATGCACACCAGTCCCATCATGGGGTCCCTACCCTTGTTCCTCTTCTAAGCCTAATAACCTCCCCAAAGCCCTGCTTCCAAATACAACCATATTGGGAGTTAAGGCTTCCACAAATGAATTTGGGAGGACATAAACATTCAGTCCATAAAATACTGATTGTATTCGCATCCCGTTTTCAATTATTTGGGGTATACACCCTGAGTGGAATTGCTGGGTTATTCTTCAATATTTTAATCTTGAAGAATTTTTAACCTGTTTGCCTGTTCTTTTTTGTTTCTTTTTCCTTCTTGTTCTTTTCCCACAATGACATCAATTTAATAACATGACTAGTTAAGTCATCTCATCTTTTTGCTTGGCCTGATAGGTTCCTCTTGTTCTTCTTCAGTATGTTCCTCTGTGCCTTGCATGTCTTATAATTTGGGTACCATGTTTTTATTTTCTCTGAGGTCTCTTTTCCCCCCTCAGTTTACTGTTTGACACATTTGCCTCTTCTTTTTGGTATATGGACTATTTTGGGGGAATGTGCCCTCATTTTCTATTGGGAACCCAAAGGAGTTTCTGTACTTTGCTGCAATAAATCTATGTACAAGGATGTTTTTGCTCTTTTTTTTTTTTTTTTTTTTTGAGAAACTGCTTTTGTTCTCTTATGCTTCAAATTCTGGTCATAGGCATCAGAATGTTTGTTGTGTTTCTCCTTCCTTATCCATGAATAGACCTAGTGTTGGCACGTAGACGTGATACCCTGGCCATTTGCAGTATACCACTGACGCTGGCACAGTGCCTTCTCATATCTGAGGCCAGAGGCTGAGCTGGCGGCACCACCAATGGGACATTCCTGGTCTGTGGCCCATGTCAGGAAACTCTTTTTGGCTGATGTAGTTTTTCTCTTCTATCACTATCCATTTCTTTCTTTTTTTTTTTGAGACCGAGTCTTACTCTGTCACTCAGGTTGGAGTGCAGTGGTGCAAGCTCGCTGCAACCTCTGCCTCCTGGGTTCAAGTGATTCTCCTGCTTCAGCCTCCCAAGTAGTTGGGATTACAAGCGTGCACCACCATGCCTGGCTAATTTTTATATTTTTAGTAGAGATGGGGTTTCACCATGTTTGTCAGGCTGGTCTCGAACTCCTGACCTCAGGTTATCTGTCTTCTTTGGCCTCCCAAAGTGCTGGGATAACAGGCGTGAGCCACCACGCCTGGCCTCTTCTCTGTCTATCCATTTTTGACAAGTGAAAAAAAAATGGATGTGGGTCTTATGGGACCTGAGGCTGGCTCTGAACAGTCTTTCGTGGATGCACACACCTGCCTGCAGACGCTGCTCCCAGGTGAGGAGGTTGCATGCCTCAGAATGCAGTTAGCCTGGGCATCTGTGCATCAGGCTGAGTTCCTGCCAAGGAGCTGCAGATTTGTGATGAATGTGGAACTAAAGTTATTGAGGAGACCAAGAGACTTGACCTGGGAGTGCTTATGTGGTTTGGATGGGATTCCTTGAGGCTTTTGTGGACGAGCAGTCCATGGGGTCAGGTTGTCCGTGGGTCACTTTAGCCCATATGATGTTCTTTGCATGAGTTAGAAAAAGATGCCTCTTCCTCAACACACTTTACTTCCATGCGTGGGAAAACTCTCCTACCCTGAGTTGGTGATTTGACAGCCACCTGCTGGAAAAGTGTATGATAAGTACACAAGTCTGCTGCAGGAGTGATGTGCTCCCTTCCATGTGGCACAGTTGTCACCCCCTGCTTAGCTACCTCTGGAGCCACTTTGGGTTTTGTGGCTGATGTTCACTAGCCACTGACTATGCATCTGAATTCCTTCCTATCATAGAAGATCCTTCTGGTTTGGGCATATGGTCAACTCTTTATTTGTAAGAGCTGTTGCTACCCCTTCTCTCCACTTTTATTAGTTTTCATGGGGACTTAAGTGAGCATCCAGGCACTGTTGTTGATCTGCATCTCTGATCCAGAAGATCATGTTAACTTTTGGACAAAGTTCCTGGATAGTTCTCAAGCTATGATGCTGTGCACCAGGGTGGAATGGGGGTCCTAAGAGTCCAGCATTGTTTGTCCTAGCAGCTTGTGGCAGCTCAGCTTGAGTAGCAGAATGAGTACCTTGTAATAGATATAGCTGTCTGCCTTTCAGATTATGGAAGGCTTCATTTCTTCTGAGTGCATTCTCATAGGCAGGTGTTACATCTTTTGTGACTCCAGGATCATGAGGCTCATTCTTGGGTTTGACTCTGGGAATCCTGCTCATTGGTCTGCTTTTCCTAATTATGTCAATGAATACCTACCTATGTGTGCAGTAGAGCTAAAGGAAGAAGGTGAAAACCACCTCAGATTTCCATGATCCAGGAGTAACTGCTGTGAACCTCCACTTCTCCATCCTGCTCCCATTTCCTGTTTCCACCCTCATCCAGTTTGCTTTTCCAGGATCTTTACTGCTTCCTTTGATGGGGGTGAGGACTCTCCCTAACCACCCCATCTCCTGAAGGAACTGTTGCCCCATCATAGCCAGCATTTGATAGCCCAAGGGCAAGTTTATGTATTTGAGAACCATGTTTTTCTTCTATAACTAAAAACCTGAAAATCCTTCAGTATTACATAGCCCAGTGTCTGTAGAGCACAATCGTTTTGAATTTCAGTCTGCTTCTGCTGTGTGATCTTGGGAAAGTCATTAACCCTTTTGGGCCACTATCACTATTTGAAATGAAGAGGCTGAACCAAAATGCCCTTTCCAGGGGAAAGCAAGTGGTGAAATTAGGCCTATTTAGGGAATAGAGAATAGCCTGTGGGACAGGTTTGTGCCTGTTTTTTGGTAGAGTTGAGTAAGAATTGTCAGAAGCTGATAGACAGAGGATAGATATATAGATAGGTGATTGATAGGTAAATGACAGCTAGATGATAGGTGATTGATAGATTAGATGATAGATGACAGATGATTGATAGATTAGATGCTAGATAGATAGATAGATAGATGATAGATAAAAGGGAACCAAATACTGTCTCTGTGCCCTGGGCATTTTTGCCAGGCAGGGGAAATTGCATCATTGGGGTCAGAGTTGTATGGCCCACAGAGGTCAGCTCAGAGGTTGGGAGGAGGTTGATGACCTTGTGTGGGAACCAACCTCAGGGGAATGAATGATGTTGGGGCCTCTTAGGGGCCTCCACTCTTGGAGTTTGGACTCCCCTTTCTCTGTGGGTCTAAGCTGGCTTCCTTCCACTGTGGAATTGTGCTAACACTGACCCTTTAGTGATTTTGCCTTTGTTGTTTTTTGTTTTCCGCTATCCTCATTAGCAGAGGTTTTGCTCTTATACACTTCATTGTCCCAGTGACTTCTTATATGCCAGTCACTGGCGGGTAAATGCCAGAGGGACACTGAGGACTCATCAGGAGGGCTCAGCCTTCTCTCAGAGAGGAAGCCAAGGTGGCCAGATTACGATCTGTTTTTTCTGGTAAATGTCCTGGGTAGGAAATGTTATTTGTGAGTTTGAAATATCCACCAAGGGCAGAGGGTGCCCTGAAGACAAACAGGAATCAAGTGGTCATTTTCTTGGCCCTGAAGTGATGCTCTGCCTCTGTGATGTCACAGTTGGCTCCTCACAACCTAGTTCAGCCTAGCACAGTACATGACAGTGGTCACTGGGTTTCTATCTGGGCAGGATAGCACCTGTGCATCAGGGAAAATAGACCAAGCTCTCACAAGGGCAGTATCATCCTTTGGAATTTGTTCATTTTAGTTACATACTCGTCAGGAGCTTTTAAGGGAATATGACCATTTTCCCAGTGAGCAGTGGCATAAACATTGAGGACTCTCTTAAATCAAAAGATGAATGAATGGATGGAATCTTTGCTGGGATAATATGCAAACCAGGTAATATGTGCCTGACCTGGATCTCCCAACAGGTAAGAAATGGGAAAATGTTAAGGGGGAGATGTTGGGGAAGAAGAGTAAACTTTGAAAAGCCATTCTCTTCAGCACAGAAGCACTGAAAGAAGTTGGAGATCTTCATGGTAAAAAGTGGGAAGCCCTATATTAGCAGGGAATGATGATTGACAGGGACCTAATGTGTGCTGGGTGGAGTCTGAGAATCCTGTGGGTAGAGAGGAAAGTGAGACATTAGAAGTCCTCCTGTATGTTTTGGAGACAGAGTCCCTTAGCTCACCCGGTCAGTAAGTTTCTCTTTCTTTCTCTCTCTCTCCCCTTTCCTTTTTTTTATTTTTTTGAGACAGAGTCATGCTCTGTTACCCAGGCTGGAGTGCAGTGGTGCGATCTTGGCTCACTGCAAGTTCTCCCTCCTGGGTTCAAGCGATTTTCCTGCCTCAACCTCGCAAGTAGCTGGCACTACAGGCCTGTGCCACCACACCAGGCTAATTTTTTGTATTTTTAGTAGAGACGGGCTTTCACCGTGTTAGCCAGGATGGTCTTGATCTCCCAACTTTGTGATCTGCCCACCTTGGCCTCCCAAAGTGCTGGGATACAGCTGCGAGCCACTGCTCTGGCCCAGTGTTTCTTGAATAAGTGAATTGGACTCTGTGGACGCCTTTCTGGAGAAAGCTTGATGGAGGGAAGTGGAAAGGACCTTGGAAAATTACCCAAATTCAATGAAGCTTTTTCCTAAATACCGATGGCTAAAGAACTTCAACTTGTCAGTTTCGTATAAAACACTGCATTGGACTCAATCTTCCTCTGAATTTAATGCTAGCGTTCCTTCAAAAGTCTTGACTTACTTTCTTTCTTTCTTCTTTTCTTTCTTTTTGCCTGCACTGTCTGTGCATTACAGTGCTGTAAGGGAAAGTTTTCTTGTGAAGTGATGTAGATAAGATTTAGAGGATCTGAACACCTCTCTGCTTTGGAACTCATGGGAGCTAAAGTGTAAATAGATTCACACATCTGACATTCAAAGTCAAAAATTCATGTGGTCTTGTCCTTTTCTGGTGTGTGAGTTGGTTTCAGAAGGGGCTTGGTGTTTGAAAGGTGCTGTAAGGAGTGGAAGAATCAATGCCATCTTCAGATGTTTGTTTTGAGTCACAGGCAAACCCTGCTTGAAGTCTGCCGGCAAGGCCTTTGAGTGACACAGAGCCTGACTTGTTCACTTCATGTTTGTCCAGCTTCCACGGCATGTGGAAGGAGTTTGTCTGCTTGGGAATATGCTGAATTAAGCAACATAACGAACCAATGAGAGGGGCCTAAAGCTTCTTTCAAGCTGGGCAAACCTTTAGTTGTTAGAAGCCCATACTTCCTATGTGGTGGTGTAGGAAGGACACTGACTTACCTGTAGGTTTCTTGCTAGAAAGTGGAATTGCGATCTGATCAATCTTTCAACTATTTAATTTATAGAAAGTATGGAAGATAGGGGGGCATATCAAATAACACTATGGGAATGTAATCCACTGGATGTGGAAATTCTAAAATACACCACATTTCTTTAGTAAATACATGGAAAGGAAAAAGATGGGGGGAAGTGGTGTTAATGAAAGAAACTTCTAAGGGACTGTGACAGATGCATTTGATGCTCTGCCCACATTCACTCCACTTCGACCTCTACAGCTTGCTGGAGGCTGCGCGCTGGGGACACCTGTGACCCTTTGCCCAAGGGCATTTATTCTGTCCCCAAGATTACACATGGTAAGCAGAGCAGAGTGTCAGAGAATTAATGGCTTAGAGAGTTAATGTCTCAAAGCAGTCCTCAGACAAAGATGGGTGGAGAGCTGGTGTACAAATACCCCAGCTTCCTTTCCTCTACCTCCCAGGGTTGGGGAAACTCTCAGGGGTGTCCTACACTGTTTTCTGGAGTTGCCTAGAAAGACTGAGCTTCCTTTGCCCCCAGCAGCAACACGCCCTTGTTGGTGCTCCTCCCCCACTGGCTCACTTTCCTACTCCCCTACCAGTTTCTATAGGGTCACCTCCCAAATAAACCATTTGCACTGAAATCATTGCCCCAGGGTCTGTTTCTGGGGAAACCAAAGTAGGACAGGGACAAATCAATCCAGTGCAACATGTGAACCTTATTCAAACGAACCATCTGTAAAAAGGCATTTATGAGTCTAATGTGGAAACATGATGGTAGATGGGATAATAGACTATTTTAAAGAATTATTCTTTAATTTCTTTCTTTCTTTTTTTTTTTTTGAGACAGAGTTCTCAGGGAGAGAGGGTTGGAGTGCAATGACATGATCTCAGCTTACTGCAACCTCCACCTCCTAGGTTCAAGTGATTCTCTTGCCTCAACCTCCTGAGTAGCTGAGATAAAAGGCATTTGCCACCACATCCAGCTTATTTTGTATTTTTAGTAGAGACGGGGTTTCTCCCTGTTGGTCAGGCTGGTCTCGAACTCCCAACCGTGGGTGATCTGCCTGCCTTGGCCTCCCAAAGTGCTGGGATTACAGATATTCTTTAATTTCTTTAGGTGTGATGTTGTTTCTTGTTTTTTTTTAAAAGAGTGCTTCTCTGCTGGAGAGCCACGTTGCAGTATTTACGATGAAATGATAGGATGTCTAGGATTTGCTTTAAAATAATCCAGTGGTGGTGGTGGAGGGGCACGGTGTGGGAGGAACCAGGGGATATAAGGTGGGCAAAACTTTAATAACTGTTGAAGCTGGGTGCTGGGGACATGGCAGTTCATTACACAGGTTTTGTAGTATATTTAAAATCCTTCATAGTAAAATGTTAAAGAAAACAAAAAATCACATATATACCTTTCTGGTCTCCCTCCTCTTAGGCAAGATTAAATGATCTTTTCCTGGCTATGTCATTGTGACACACCAGGTCTGTCTTAGGGTATCAGTGGCTCAGCAAGTGAATCCTTAGTGTCTCAGCTCATGGCCCTCGTCCATGCTGCTAGCCCTCACTTCTTCCGTCCCATCCACCCATCCCATAGCCAGACTGGAGCCTTTGGCATCACCCAGACCTGCTTTACCCTGAGATCTTAAATTCCATCCTGTAAGCTCCTGCCTTGAGCAATTCCTCTGGTTCTGCTGCAGCAACTTTCCAATCTGTAACCCCCCATACAATCATAACCCATGTGGTCTTGACTGTTAAGTACCAGAATTGCTGGGGAGGGTGAGCCTGGAAACCAGAGGTCAGGCCAGGTTGTGGGGCTTCTCCTGCACAGAGTCTTCAGCAATTCTAGTGGGATATACAAGAGGATGTTGTGACTTTGGCCTTGGCCAAACACCCCAGGGGTGTTGTAACTGGGGGGCCTCTGGGAGAGGAAGTGCCACCATGGCTCTAAGAGGAAGAATAGAAACTTCAGTCCAGAGGGATCCAATAAGGGAAGAGTTCAGTTCTCAGGGATAGAGTGTTGGAGAGAGCTTGAGTTGTTAGGGCATTAGCCAAATGGCCAGGGCTTTTCCAGAGGGAAGCTGGGATATCATCAGGAAATTAAGGCAGAAGCCTAATCCTGCGTACTGGATGCATGGGCCAGGTTTGGGTGGGTCTTCTGCCCAAGGCTTGCCACAGGTATTCCAGGCTTTGGGTAGCAGGAGGAATGGCAGAGCTCAGCCACTGGAAGGAATGGGCCTGTGCCCCCTGGGGCTGGTTTGTGATGAGCTTGGTCACTGGAACCGGTTGGGTGAGGGTGGTAATGGACAACCTGCAGGTTGAAGATCTTTTATATTTGGCTTATTTATTGAGAGGTCTCAGCTTTGCACATACATAGGAATCGGTTTTATTTTTGCTAATCACTGCTTTCCGCTGTGCTGAAGCAAATTCTTCTCTCCCTCTGGGCAGTAGGACTCTTGAGGATCCTTTGACTAGGGCCATATCTTTCCTGCCATGTTTAATAAAAACCTTTTTATTTCTGTATGACTTACTCTTTTTTTTTTTTTTGAGACGAGTCTTGCTTTGTTGCCCAGGATGGAGTACAATGGCACCATCTCAGCTCACTGCAACCTCTGCCTCCCGGGTTCAAGCTATTTTCCTGCTTCAGCCTCCCAAGTAGCTGGGACTACAGGTGTGTACCACCTTGTCTGGCTAATTTTTTTACTTTTTAGTAGAGACAGGGTTTTGCCATGTTGGCCAGGCTGGTCTCGAACTCCTGGCCTCAAGTGATTCGCCTGCCTCAGCCTCCCAAAGTGCTGGGATTACGGCTGTGAGCCATTGCACCTGGCCCCTTTTTGTTTTTAAAACATCAGTTTCCTCTCTCATTGACAGTTTGTCCTCAACAGCATTTGCAGAGATGGGATCCTGGCTGCTGGTAGAGGAAGAGGGTGCTGTGGTCAGGCTCTGCACACCTCCTCCCTCTCCCTCTTCTAGATGCTCCTTCCTTTGGTGCTGAGCACAGGAAGGACAGCTGGGGAGGCGAGTTCTATGTGTCTCCCACTTGTGGAGGGTGTGTGGGGATTCCTGGTCTTGCTCTGGTCCCCCCAGTTCTGTCTGACGCTGGTGTGGCATCTGTGTCTTCCTGTGTCCCGTCTGTGTCTTCCTGTGTCCCGTCTGTAATCCATCCTCTTTTCCCGATGCTGTTTCCCTTACCTGTGAAGCTGGCTGAACAGGCCATGGCTCCTTTCCTGCCTCTCTCCCAACCTGCACCTTCTTGTTGAATCAGGGAAACCGCTGGAGTCTTCTTTCATACCCTCTGAGGGCCATGGAGAATGGTATTCTTTCCCTGAAGGCAACTCTAGTTTTTGCAAGTGGTTTTCTTGGAGTCCTCTGAATTGGCTTTGGGGAAGGGAAAACATCCTCATCAGTTTCCCATGAGAATGGGAGGAAATAAGAACAGTAGCTAATTGGCGGGGCGCAGTAACTCACGCCTATAATCTCAGCACTTTGGGAGGCCAAAGCAGGTGGATCACTTGAGGTCAGGAGTTCAAAACCAGGCTGGCCAAAATGGTAAAACCCCATCTCTACTAAAAATACAAAGAAATTAGCTGGGTATGGTGGTGTGCACCTGTAGTCCCAGCAA